TTTCTAGGCAGTGACTGCTGTCCTCCAGCATGTTATTCCAGGAAGCTGAGGGTCATGAAGAGGGTGAGTGTTAGTGTCTGAGCTGTGGTGTCCTTAGTGTAAATCCTCAGAACAGGAATTAGCCTAAAGTACCTTCCTTCAGTCTCGGCTCTGTTCCCACTTACATAAGGTGTTAGAGTAGGCATAAAAAATATTTGACTTAACATCTTTGCTTGACCTAGCTCAGTGTTCAGGGTGAACAACCTGGGGCATCAGAGGACACAAAATTATTCTTCATACTGACATGTGATGTGGGATTCTAATAATCAAAAGAATCCTGTGTAAAGGAACTTAAGGGAAAGGAAGTGTACAAATGTAGAATCACCTTCGTTGATTGACTCCTTGCAGTTTATGCAGATAGATAGAATTGTCCTAGACTTGGGCATGTGTTCAACATGAAGGCAAATGGTTATTTTTGTGAAGGGTCTGTAATAGCTTATTTGCCACTTGTAGGTCATATTGAAAATATGCTTGAGAGCTCTAGCTAAGCAGCATGCTGCACAATAATTTGCATGCTCCATCTATAGGTGGAAAATATTTAATGTTGGTGGACATATTGTACGGTATATGCTGTGCGCTATTTTTTTAAATTCTGAAATAATTAAATATGGGGAGAGTGCTGAAATATTGATGTGCTGACAGCACTACATAGACTATCAAGCATTTTGGCTTCCTTCCTTGTGTAACATATGCTTGAATGGCCTGCTATCACATTTACAGTTTACAGCAATGATGTGAGAACTGGAAATCTCTTAAGAACAACAGTAAACTAAAGCTGCTGTTTTTAGGACTGTTAAGGCAGCAGCTTAAAAGTACACGCACCGCTTCAAGACTGTAAATGCATTGCTTTGTATTTGTAGCAAGAAACATTCTTATTCTTGGTTTGCTTGTCAGTTTATGTACCTGTATAGTATACTCTTAAACAACAGCATGTTTTTCTTCATACTTAACAAAGGCAAAAGTGCCTACTTGCAACTGAGTCCTTGTACATCCTAATTTTCCTTCCTGTTCCTTTGTTTTTGTATCATTTTGTTCTTGGGCAGAATGTAAGCCATGTAGGAGATCTCTTAATTTACTGCTCCCCACCTCCCAGCTTGGGACGCGGGTGGCACTGTGGGTAAAACCTCAGTGCCTAGGACTTGCCGATCGTATGGTCGGCGGTTCGAATCCCCGCGGCGGGGTGAGCTCCCGTCGTTCGGTCCCAGCTCCTGCCCACCTAGCAGTTCGAAAGCACCCCTAAGTGCAAGTAGATAAATAGGTACCGCTTTATAGCGGGAAGGTAACGGCGTTTCCGTGTGCTGCACTGGTGCTGGCTCGCCAGAGCAGCTTCGTCACGCTGGCCACGTGACCCGGAAGTGTCTTCGGACAGCGCTGGCTCCCGGCCTCTTAAGCGAGATGAGCACGCAACCCTAGAGTCGGACACGACTGGCCCGTACGGGCAGGGGTACCTTTACCTTTACCTCCCAGCTTATATGTTATTTTGGAGAGAAAAGAGGTGAAACTGGTGTGAGGGGAATATCTAAGCGTTCCTCCTTTCTGTTTCTAACATGTCTTTTAGCACAGGGTAATACTGGAAGATGGGTATATAATGCCTCCTATCTTAATAGAAACTTGTGAAGTTTTTGGTGCATGCTGTATAGTTATCAGACCACCCAAATATCCAAATTTTAATTTTACGTAATAGAAATATTGATAAAACAAAAGCATTTCTGCATATGATGACTTGCTTAATTTATAAGTAAGAATTTCCTTTTACATTGCCACATGCTATACCCTGGCTTTTCTTCTTCCAACTCCACTTTTTCTTATTTTTCTGCATTGCTACGCTTTTTGCTGTGTGGTAACTGTACAAATGTCAACATCTCTGTGTTTGAGCTGAGATGTAACCTTAGTGTAGTAATGTGTTGCCATTTGACTTGCTGAGGTGTTGCCTTAGCATGGGTTGCCACGATACCTGGCCAGTTTATAACTTGAACTGCACTCAGAAAATGTAAGGGTTTGTCTTGGAATAATTCTTTGAACAATCTAATGCTACATAAAATATCAAAATCATCTCTCTTTCCCTCATAAGCATTTTAATGCCTTGCTTTAAATGTTGGATTGGAAAAAAGGAAAAGAAAAATTGCTGTACACTTCAGCAATAAATGTTTGTCGTAAGAGGGTTAACTGCTGTTTTTATGTTTCTGAATCTTGAGGCTTATATTTACTTTTAAGTAGTTTTAATCTACATAGGGGTTGCTGTCTGCAGGTATTCTGACTCTTCATAATTGGCATTTTCCTGTATATGTTCATAAATGTGTTTTGCCGTTTTAGGGAGCACCCATGCATCATGTGGACAGGTGGATTCAGAAGGATCCCAATCCTGGTATTTCATGCAGAAGCTATTCTAACCAAGGACAGTTACATCCGCTTGATTGGGGGTAAATGTGGTTTTATGCAACTCATTATCTCAGCAAGAGTATATAAAATGAAATTACCTGTATATGATTTCTCTTCTTGTCATATAAATAAATGAAATAGCTCTTGACATATTAGAGTTATGTGTTGCTTTGACTATAAATAAATCAATAAATCAATAAATCAAAACAGTCAAGTTACAACCTTCTAAGTTCCTAAGAGAAGAATTTAAACATGCTCTGAAAATGTCTGTTGAAAACAACAGGAGTTAAAAAATGCTTAACATTGTTTGGAAGTCTAAAAAGTTCATAGGCTCTTTCTTGTGCAGCAACAGTAAATTAACTGATTAAACAAACATGTGGGAAAAAGAAAGAAAGAGGGAGGGCCAGGGTGAATTTTGTAATTTACCCTTATTGGTTTTGCTGCATCCCTAATAATAATAATAATAAGTAGTAGTAGTAGTAGTAGTAGTAGTAGTAGTGTAGGAATAATGGAATGTGTCAAGTTCCTAACACTGTTTCCCTTTGGCAGCCTTTGGCAGCCAGCGAAATATAATGTGGCTGGGGTGGTGTTATTAATTTGTGATACTTTCTTCACAGAGCGCTATCGCTTGTCTTTTAAGATTGTGAGAACAGACAGTCGCCTGGTGCGGAGCATTTTGTCAGCTCATGGATTCCGTGAGGTATGTTCATCAGGACGTGTTAAATATGAAGAGACTTAAAGTCCAATTATGTTTGCCTGCTCTTAAAGCCAAGAGACAGATATAGTTCAGAGCGTGGAGTGTGAAGATACAGCTGTTCAAACAAAAAGCATGACAAAGCACACTCCTGCTTTAGGTAGCTTGTCATATATACTGTTTCTAATATGATTACTTTATAATGTACATTCCTTTTGTCTAGTATGATATTTTGAAACCTACAAATTGTATACATACCCAAAGAAACAAAGCATACCTGAAGAAACAAAGCTTGTGGAGGTGCATTAATACTGGCTGTGTGAATTGTTTTTGTTTTGGAATCTAGTGCCTTGATTGGTAGGTAATATACTTTTCCCCAACTTCCTTGTCATGTCTAGGTACACCCAAGCAGCAATGAGTATAACCTTATGTGGACAGGATCCCATCTGAAACCCTACATTCTACGAACCCTCACAGATATTCAAAAGGTCAACCACTTCCCTAGGTAAGGGGATATGTGATGACTGCATAGAAATGCCTCTATAGAAGGGTGCAAATAAGCAGTGTGACTTGAATATGCACTATATTATTCTTCAGTCTCTCTTATAGCTTGTGTAGAAAATTGGGACAAATGAGATTTATAAATTCCCATCACCAAAGTCCTCATGCTCAGTAAAACTTTCATAAAAACACTAATAAAATAGTTTTTAAATTAAAAAAATAAAATCCCTTGCCATGAGATACTTGCTCAAAGAGTTGCCTATTATTGCTTAGAATTAATGGATCTCTAGGGAAATTGGAATGAGGAACCACCACCAAGAAATCTTTCTGTAAGCTTGGTACATTCATACCATCCTTTAGAATGCTTTCAGTAGGAGAGAGTCAATAATCAGTTGGAGACTGCAGACCTTTATGCTGTATTCAGACAGTAGCAAGAGAGCAAGCTAGAATTGTGCAAGTTCCTTGTGCTCCTTAAAACTTGTGAGTGTTAAGGTAATTAATTTTCAAAGATCCTCACAAAGAGGCGACATCTGAAAACTGCATGTACATCTCTTCAGGTCTTATGAATTAACTCGAAAGGACAGATTGTACAAGAACATAATTCGCATGCAGCAAACCTATGGATTCAAAACCTTCCATGTGCTCCCTCAGACCTTCATTCTCCCTGCTGAATATCAAGAGTTTTGCTGTAAGTGACTGAATCAAAGTGACCAAGTATTAAGTAAAGTTGGGAAGTGTTTTTCATTTTTCATTTTATGACCTTCCTGGTGCTCCAGGCGACAAAATGTATGTCAGCTTTTGACATTGAAACTCATGATATTTCAATGACTCCCCTAGGAAAAGTCCTCTCCTAACCCTTTGAATCCTTGCAGTGGAGGTCATTCATGCATTGGGAAAACCTGGGAAATAGATATTTAAATGTGGGACATCTCTGTTCCTCCATACTAAGGCTCATGACTTGGAGTCCTAAGCCTTAATTTTTTTAAAAAATCATCAGCCATTTGAGTGTAACAATTGACAGGGGGTGAGTCCCGAGCCCTGTGCTTACTTTAGTCTGGTTTGCACATAGCCATAAGCCAAACCATGGCTTATTGTGAATGAGCAAGCATACTGGTGCACAGGGGAGAATTGCTCCTCCCCTGCTGCTGCTGCAGTACTTTGACTTAGCATTATGTCCAAATGGGCTCACAAAATTTGATCGGTAACCAAAGTTTGTACTTGGCTTACTGCTTATGGTTTGGGAGAAAACAAACCACGAGCCTGGGTTTGGACATAGTTCTAAGGCCAACCATGGCTTAGGTGATGGTAGTGCAGCAGGAGTGAAGCAGCACAAGTTTCCCTGTGCAGTGGCACACTCGATCATTTAGGCATAAGTCACAGGGGAATGGCTGTAGCTCAGTGGTAGAGTATCAGTTTTGCATGGAGGAAGTCCCAGGTTCCATCCCTGGCATCTGCAGGTAGGGCTGGGAGAGAACCCTGTTGGAAATCCTGGAGAGCTGCTGCAGGTTAGGGTGGACAATGCAGATGTAGATGAGCCAATGATCTCACTCAGAATAAGGTAGTTTTCTATGCTAAGTACAAACCAGGCAAGTGAATTTTCCAAATCCCATAATTGTTAAGTGTCACCATCTGTGACCAAACTGAGTATAAAGTGAGGAGGAAAGATGCAGAATGAAAAGACACCTGTGGCAATTTTTAGCAGTTCATATAAAGACTGGCTGAAAGAGGCCCGTAAGTACTGCTGAAATTCCATTCAGTCATTGCTGGAAGCTGTGGCAATGTCTGGTAAACCTTTTGGTAAAGCATTTGATAGTGTTTGTGATTTTTATTCTTTCTCAACCAGGTTCCTATTCAAAGGATAGGGGACCCTGGATAGTGAAACCTGTGGCATCTTCTAGAGGACGAGGTGTCTATTTGATCAACAATGTAAGCACATAAATATACCAAGCTTGATAAGTTGCTTGCATCTTTGAGCAAGTGATAACGTTTCATGATAACATTTTGGCCTCTACATAAATGTTCAGACTGTTAGGAGCAACACACTGAGTATGGTACTGTCTTGCTGCACTTGTCCTGTTCCCTGTCACTTGTATCAGTTAAGCAAATTATTAAATAGTTAGATGTTGCTTATTTGGTTTGTCAAAAGCTGACAACAGAGCTTAGACGGAGCAATCAGAATAGCTGTTACTGTTTTGGTTGCTGCTTAACATGTGCAAGAAGTCTGAGTCTTGGATACCAAGGAAGTAGTGTATAAGACCTTTGACTTGGGACATGAATGTTTTGAAACTGTGAGTGAATTTCCTGGGTGAAATTCCAGTTGTTCCCTTTGTGCAAGCATTCCAGCTTGCCAGGTGGAACGATACCCTCTCCCATTGTGTGCCTTTCTGGGGGTTCTCCTGACTCCCCAAGAGCCAATTTTTTTTGTAGTGGGAGGTGCTGTGGGAGGCGGGGGAAAGTTCCATTGCACAAGCACTAACTTTGTGCAGGGCTTCCCTTGACAGGGCTGATTAGGTGACTCCCGCCATATTGCCAGAGAGGTTATAGGAATATCTTTTCAGGGGTATATCCAGTAGAAGAGGGGTAGATTCAGAAAAACTTTGTAAGTCTAGGAGCAGTTATGTTCAGGTGGTTGCTGTTCTGTGCATTCTCACCTTCTGAACTGAGATCACTCGTTTGTTGGCTAATGTTACTTCTTAACAGACACATCCCCATTCTGGCAAGTGGAGATATCTTGAGGTTCATAGTGTAAAAGTTACCATACTTTTAGGGCAGCCACAGAATGATTAGAAGCGGCTATCTAATGGTAATGGGGTCATGTTGACCATACACTCATATGTTAGGCTAGTTGTCTGTATGGTGAGGCAAATTTTACCAAGCACTTGATCAGAAATCTGGAGAAGCAAGGGTGTGGTGACATTTTTGCTATAGGTAACTAGCTCACCTGCATCTATTGCATTCAGCACAGATTAGCACTTGGTAAATAGATTTCACCCATGGAGAACAGTGTAGCAGATTCACTGTTGACTGTTTTAACTACCTTGTCTATCACTAGTCGTGAAAGGAGCCATAATGGATAGAAAAGTTTATGTGTGTGTCCCCTAAAACTAATAGGCAAACTATAAAACTGAACAGTGAGTCACTGCTTTCACTCATATATATATCTCCCTTCCCCATATTGAAGGGGCCAGTTTGTCTCGTATGTTCTCAGCCTGGCTCCTTTCCCATGGAATAAGGCAGCTGCTAGCCAAGTGCATGAAGCAACTGTTTCCAGAGCTGCACAAGACTTTACTCTCCACTTCAAGGAAAGACATATGTGAACAAAGGGTCAGAACCTGGAGAAAGGCACTCTAAGCTTATTTCCCATAATATCTGCCTCTTCCAGGATTGTTAAACCCACAGATCTGTCAAATGTCTTACTCCTTCTCTAGAGAGTGCTCTCTAGAATCTCATTCTTAAATCGCCTTAATCTCCTGCAGATAATAGGAGATGCTTTTGTTTCTGTGTGTCACACTAGATAAATACAGAGTTTTCCAGTTGACTGTAATTAACTTGTTCATACCCAAACTTATTTGAATAGTTGTTGCTACATAGGAAAGCCACTTTAGACTTGATTATCTATATTGCTGTTAGAAACCATATCCGTGTTCCAGGATGTTGCAGCCCTCAGACTTATCCACATGCAGTCTATTCCTGTCAAAATATGAGCCCTTGATCATGACTTTATCACATTAGCTTTTACTATATTGAACTGTCACAAGTATCATAGTTGTCACACACAGTTCTTTTCTGTGCTCAGAGTTCAAAGCCTTGGACAGAATTGCCTGGTTTGGCATTTGGTCTGTGGTGCAGAAAGCATTATGTAAGGAAGTTGTTTTCTCTGCTGATGTTGTGCAGCCTGAATCCTATGCATGCTTACTTAGAAATTTGTCCCACTGTGTTTAGTGGAGGTTACTCCTAGGTAAGCCTGCATAGGATTGCAGCTTTAGTTCCTGTTACAGAGTCCTCATTCACAGCAATGTGGTCAACATTTCCAGTTTTTGCTGGAAGGAAAGAATAATATTAAAAACTTGAAAGGGAGAAACACCACCACTTAATTCTGGTCCAGTTTTGATATGAGAGGGAGCCCTGTGATTGTGTAGAATCATAGAATTGTAGAGTTGGGAGGGACCCCGAGGGTCATCTAGTTCAACCCCCTGCAATGCAGGAATCTTAGCTAGATCATACAGCCTCTACTTAAAAACCTCCAAGGAAAAAGAGTCCACCACGCCTCGTGGGAGTCTGTTCCACTGCCGAACAGCTGTTACTGTCAGAAAGTTCTTCCTGATGTTTAGTCGGGATCTCCTTTCTTATCACTTAAATCCATTGGTTCAGGTCCTAGACTCCAAGGCAGGAGAAAACAAGCTTGATAATAAGCTGCCTTTTGTTTTGCTCTCTGATGCATTTGTATTATATGAAGATGGATCATCTCTGAAAATGTTGAACTTGGTGTTTGATATTTGCATATCTTTATATACAATAACAAGGATGCGTTCATATAAAGACAATTTTGCAGCACTTACCGTATTTTTCGCACCATAGGACGCAGTTTTTCCGTCTTAAAAACTAAGGGGAAAAGTCTGTGCGCCCTATGGAGCGAATGCAGGGGGGGAGGCAGGCAGGAAAAGCCCCCAAGAGCCACACACAAGCTTCGTGCGGCTCTTGCGGGCTTTTCCCCAGGAGGGAGAAGGGACTGACACGGTCAGTCAGTCCCTTCTCCCTCCTCTAGAAAAGCCTTGTGCAATCTCTCCAGCCGGGGGGAGGCTGTGCAAGGCTAAAGAGGAAGCCAGGGCAGCGAGCGCGATCCATCCCCTCGCTGTCCGGGCTTCCTCCTTAGCCTTGCACGCCTCTCCAGCCGTGGGAGGCTGCGCAAGGCTAAAGAAGCCAACTTTTAAAAAATCTCTCTATCTCTATCTCTATCTCTATCTCTATCTCTACCTCTTTTTCTTTTTTCGTCCTTTCTCCACCCCCTTCTCTTCCTCTGGATCAGTGTTTTTATCTAGATTAACGTTTTAGTTTGGAGGGGGGGATATTATAAAAAAGGAAACTTTGCAGCTTTTATTTTAGTATACAATAAAAACAGATTAAACAAAACACAAAAGAAGGAAATAGCACAGAAGAAGAAGAGAAAAGGGAAGCCATTTACCAGAGGTAGATCTTAACCCTTGCCTCACCTGGGAGCTTCTCTGGGCAGGAATTCCCTCGTCTTAAGTGGGGTGGGGGGAGAGTGGCAGGTAGGGGGGTACCTATCTAGACGCTGAAGCCACATGTCTCTCCAATGAAAATTGGGAGTGGGCATTGTGTGAAGTGGCTGTGGATCTCCTGCCGCAGATGTGTAGGACTGTATAGAGTTGGGAGGGCCACCCGAGGGTCATCTAGCCCAGCCCCCTCACAATGTAGGAATTACAGCTAAAGAACGCCAGGCAGATGGTCCCCCAACTGCTGCTTAAAAGCCTCCAGTGGTGGAGACCCCCAACACCTTCCAAGGTCATAGAATTGCAGGGTTGGAAGGGAACCCCAGGAGTCATCTAGTCCAGCCCCGGTGGACAGCGGGCACGATCCATCCCGTTGCGCAAGGCTAAAGATGCTGCTCAAGGCTAAAGAGGAAGCCAAGGCAGTGAGCGGGATGGATCGTGCTCTCTGCCTTGTCTTCTTCTTTAGCTGCGCTGGAGAGGTTGCGTGGCTATGGATCCCGCTCGCTGTCTTGGCTTCTTTGCTCTTTGGGGCTGAGGGGGGGAAACCCAGGCTTCCCCCGCAGCCTCGAGAAGCTCTGGGAGAAGCGGACAGGCTCTTAACCCGAGGTACTAGTTCCGGGTTAACGGAGTCTGTAACCCAAAGTGTTTGTAACCTGAGGTACCACTGTACAACTCCCAACATCCCTGACCACTTGTCCTGTTAGCTAGGGATGATGAGAGTTGTAGTCCCAAAACATCTGGAGCGCCGAGTTTTAGGGGGACAAATTTCATTCCGATGGTGGTGTGTATGTATTTAAGAGGGTAAATGCTCCCTTTTCACTTGTTGCACTGCCAATCATATTTTTATCTACTCGCCCCACATGCCTCCTGAATCTGTTCAGGGTTTTTACACAACTCCCTGGAGGTGAATTTGGGAAAAGGCCCAAGGGATGTAAAGTTCCATTGAGCAAATTCTTGCACAAGTGGGACAACTTCATTGGATACGACCCAATAGCTTTTGCCACAGCATTTGGTTAACCTAGTAATCAGGCAAACATTCCTTGGCATGCAGCAATTGGGGGATAGTGTGTTAGCATTCAGGTGTCCTGTTCCTCACTCCAATGTGCTGTCTGTTTCTTCCTGTAGCCAAGTCAGATTTCCCTTGAAGAGAACATCTTGGTCTCCCGCTACATCAACAACCCTTTACTCATAGATGGTGAGTTCGTGTCTGAGTTAACTTTTCCTTCAGGAGATGTAAGTGGAGGCTTCAGAATTTTATTTATTGATTTATTATATTTATATCCTACATTTCTTCCAATAAGCTCAAGGCAGCATATGTGGTTCTAGCCCTCTGCCAGTTTCTTTCAATAACCCTGTGAAGTGCATTAGGCTGAGAGATAGCAATGGGCCCAGTCACCTGATGAGCTACAGAACTGAGTGGTGATTTGAACCTGGCTATTGAATAATAGGAAAACAATTCTGTTTGAGTCTGTTGTGAAGCATTCACCCTATTAAAAATACAGTTGTGTCATCCAAACGCACAAAGCATCACTATTCAGGAATACTCACTGGAAATATCTGATCCCCTGACCCTGTTTTTCTCAACTCTTAGGTAGGTTCAATTTTTGAACAATTTGTGGCCACTGATTAGTGTTGTTCCTTTTTCAGATTTCAAATTCGATGTGCGGCTGTATGTTCTGGTGACGTCCTATGACCCCCTTGTCATCTACCTCTATGAGGAAGGTCTAGCCAGGTAGGTGTCGGTTCTGTGTCCCATGCTGTAGAAAGCAAATATTTTGCTCCACAGAGTTGATGAGTCAGGTGTCTTAATTTCATTTTGTGACTGTCTCTTAAGATATTGAAGAGGTCTCTTGGTAATCGTACTCAGCTTTTGGAAGTTGGGAATCATGAATCAATGCTTATAAAGTATCTAGATAAAAAATATTTTCTCTCATTATGAGTACAGTTCCATTTCTTTCCTGTCCTATTCTTCTCAAGCCCCATGTGTTAGGGGCAGTTTCTAGTAGAGAATCTGCTGAGCTTAGCTACTGGCTGAAATTCAAGCAGCCTCAGCAATGACAGGGAATTATGGAATATACCGTATTTTTTGTGTATAATTTGGGGATTCCAAATTAAGGAAATACCCCTTAGCACTACCCATGTATAAGACGACCCCCAATTTTAAACCTAATTTTCTGGTGAAAAAACCTAATATTATACATGGAAAAATACAGTATGCATCAGTGAATGAAATGCCGTTTCCTGACTGGCCTTGAGGTGGCAGTAGTGGACTTTAAGGCTTTCATTGCCTTCCAAAGTTTTTGTCTTTCCTGAATTTGTGAGTATAGGCACAAGGGAAAGCTTTCATGACTTTGGCGCCATCAGGTTACAACTCTTTTTGTCCACATATTTCCGTCTCTGGCCAAAATGCCAAGAAACCTATACTAAAGAAACATAGGAAGGTGTTTTATACCAGGTCAGGCATGTGTCCGACCCATTATTTTAATTGAGAACTTGGTTCAAAAAGTTTAAGCATTCCACAGCCTTTCTTCAGTAGCTATATTAAGAACTAGAGGCAGTATGCAATGACTTGTAGGAAGTGGCACAACAATACTGCATGTGAGATAATATAGGATAAAAGCAGAATGTTGCTCCCCTTGTACTGAATTTAGGAAGAAGTTGTGGTGTCCTTAGTACAGTGGTGCCTCGCAAGATGAAATTAATCCGTTCCGCGAGTCTCTTCGTCTTGCGGTTTTTTCGTCTTGCGAACCACGGCTATTAGCGGCTATTAACGGCTTAGCGGCTTTAAGAAAAAGGAAACAAACTCGCAAGAACCCGCAAGACGTTTCGTCTTGCGAAGCAAGCCCATAGGGAACGACTCAAAAAACGCAAAACCCTTTCGTCTAGCGAGTTTTTCGTCGTGCGGGGCACCACTGTACGTAGTGTTATGGGACAGTGGTCCTCTCTTGTTTGATATGGGCAAATGGGTTGCAAACTGTGTCATATATTTTGACTTGTTCCAGAGCAACTTTCCATTCTAGCTCTGGGCCTCCTTTGCAGGTAACAATCTGATACTTTAAAGTGGAAGGTATAATTGTGATGAACCTCTTTTGTCCCTACTCCTCCTAATGATCTTGGCATTTGTCTCTTATCGCCTCACCTGAAGTAGATTTATTTAATGCATTTTTCAGAAATTAATTGTCTCCTAAAGTGGCTCACATCAGTAAGAATAAGAGAGAGGCCCTGATATTAGGCATACTAACTTAAAAACAAACAAACCCACAAAAGTGAAAGGAGTGAAGGGAAAAGGTAGAGGAGGGAGATCAGTTCTTCAAGGCCAGAACAAAGTGGTGAACTATATAAGTAGGCATTTGTTTTTATTCATGCTGGTCTTCCCTTTGTTGGTGTTCTTGCTTGAATAGCAAATGGTGGCTCTTGTTTCTTTGGCTGATAGATGGGGCCAGAGTGTTCTTTCCTCTTGCTTCTACAGTTCCAGGGCAACAGGCAGCTGGAGCTGAGTGTTCTTTCAGGCTGTAAAGGGGGAAGCGAACTCCCTGCAGCTGCTTCGTCTCTGGCTGATGGATGAGGCCAAGTTGGTCTCCCTCTTGCCTTGATGTTATTCCTGGGAGGCAAGGGCTGTGGCTTCCCAGTGGCCCTCGGCCCTCTGGTCAATGGCAGAAGTCACGGTATGTTTCCCTTCTGCTCTCCAATCTCGGAGCAGTTCACTTATCAAGTGAACGTACTTAATTGTGAGCTGATTTTTTTTTTTGGGGGGGGGAGAGGAATCAACTTTACACTTGAATATCACAGCACAACAGGCAGCTTCTGTGGTGCATCTTAAAACAGCCCGTTGTACACGATCAAAACAAAGTGCAAAAGGCTTAGATGCATGCTGGTAATTTTTTGGGTAACGTACCTTTGCAAAGTGAATGTTGTTGCCACCTCCTTTTGTGGGCTTTTGTGTTCTTTAGCAGCCTGTGCCCTTCATGTTTGCTGGTTTCGGATTGTGCACAGACTTCTGACAGCAGTAAAGTGCCAGTAGGGGGCACTCAGGGACAGGTTTTGCAAGTTTCTTCCTCAACTTAGTTTTTCTTTGTTTGGAGTCAAAGGGAAAAAGTCAGTTATTTTAAAATATCAAGTTTTAAAGAGCTATATTTTGGGGCCTAAACTCTTCCAGGCAGACATTTGTAGTTGGACCAGTGCTGATCTGCGGAGAAAACGCAGAGTCGTTTTGTGGAAATACAATGGGTTGAGCAGAAAACCAAATGTGCTTCAGAGGGGCCCCAGAAGGAGAAGGGGTGGGAAAAGGACGTGGCTGCGCAACTATGCTCTGAAACGAAGGAGCAGGCAGCAGAACCTCGCAGTGCCTGACAGTGTGCTGCTTTCCTGTTCCCTAAGCCCCCTAGTGCCCTCTCCTTTGGTAGTCCTGCTTGCTAATTAGCACTGGCTCCATGGAGATATTTACCTTTTCTCTGCTGGATTCCTGTGGTTTCCAAAGAATTCAGGTACTTACTGTGAGCCAAGGAATTCACATTACCTCATAGACTGTGTTGTGGCCAGAGCCTGTTACAGCAGCCCAGTCCCCTTTTCAGTAACCCCTGCCTGGCAGGCCCTTGATGTTTGGGGAATGTAGCTAACTTAAGCAGTGGGGGGATTGCAGTTGGTCTCATGATCCTCCTTTCTCTCTCCCCCCACCTCCCAGGTTATAGCAAACATATCAGTTTTGAGCAATAGTATTTTGTACTTCTTGCTACTACTGAGCATGCCTCGATCGGTTAAGCTAGTATGAAGCAGAATACCACTATTGGTTTCCTACATTGAAGAGCGTTGGGCTTATTGGCAGGATATAAGAGTGTTGGTGCTATCTGTTTTTGTGCATGTGAAGTAGTAGCTGGAATTTGAAAATGGTTCTTCATTTTTTTGTAAGTGGCTTGGAAACTTTTTTGTAGTAAGCAACTAATAATAATAGAATTGTAGAGTTGGAAGGGACCACGAGGGTCATTTAGTCCAACCCCCTGCAATGCAGGAATCTTTTGCCCATTGTGGGGCTTGAACCCACGGCCTTGTGATTAAGAGTCTCATACTCTACAAGTAATAAATTATGTACCCATTAGGAGATTACATAGATCTGACTGAAGAAGTATAGAGAATTTGGAGTGGCATTCAAGATGGTACACTGGGCCAAGTTGTTTGTGTTTATATACAGTCTTTCCTCCTGCACAGCAATGTTACAATACAAAAATCAAAGTAAAACTCCTTAAAGCTTGATTGTCTAAAACAAGAAGCCTAATGTAACACAGCCAGCCCACCATACCAGCTACTGGCTTCCAGGGCTTATTTAGGTTCCCACAGCCCAGATGAATAAATATGTTTCGTTGCCATCTGAAAATTTTCAGTGTGGGAAACCTCATAGAGGGAATTCTATAACCAGGGTGCCACTACCATGAAGGCTCAGTCTTGGGCAACCAGCTTACAGGCTATACCTGGTGGTAGAACCATTAGCAGGACCTCTTCTGCTGATCTCAAAGCGGGAGTCAGTTTGGAGACCAACAGCTCTCCCCACTTTAATTTCCTTGGCATGGTTTATATACCATAATGCCATTTGTGTGTCCTCATTCCATTTAAGTTCCATCATTCATTTGCAATGATACTGGATTTTCCATAAAACTTTGAGTTGCAAATTAATTTGCATCGAATTTTCTGATGCCCCTGAGCATGATCTGATTTAATGTGTTTATTTTACTTGTATTTAGAACACTAGGCTAAAAATGCTGAAACTGCCAAGCTGGCCTAATAAATTATTTGCATTTGGTATCCCTCAATTGTTCCTAATTAACTTAAGAAACAGAACATTTTTTAGTTGAAAAATAAAGCATTGACAAATTTTCCACTCCACATTCCTGTTCAATTGTTATTCCTGTGTCCATATGGAGTTAAATGGTTAAAAGCCGTTTAAACTGCTTCCTGCATTGAGGATGGGGTCCTTCAATCAATTAGTTCATATAAGTCCAATTATGTGACACAAACAGAAAAAATAATTAATCAAAGATGGTTCCTGTTACTGATGTTGGCAGAACAGATAATGAATTCAGTTGCACTGCTGTTTCTAAACGTATGTGTGTTTCCTGGATAAGACTGCAAATAGCCCATTGCAATTTGGTAGTGGATAAGAGTGTGAAAAAGAGATGATAGCAATTTCTGATATGGTGTGATGAGGGATGGGTTTGGGGAGGAAGCATGGAAGTTGGCAGCTAGCTTTCATCAGATGTATAGGTGAGGGCAGAAAGTAATATCTAGCCATTCCCCAATCTCTAGATAAAAGATGATGGGACAATTTGCCTGCTATGCTTTGAATTATTGTTGTAGTCTTGGTTCTTGTTTTGTAGGTTTGCAACTGTGAGATATGACCAGGGAGCAAAGAATATTAAGAACCAATTCATGCATTTAACAAACTACAGTGTCAACAAGAAGAGTGGTGACTATGTCAGGTACTTACATTTTGCTGAGGAGTTTTTGAGTTTTCAGTTGTCCAGAGAAAAGCAGCCAAAGCCATGATATTTATTTATTTAAATATATTTTTATCCTGCCTGTTACACCCCGCCCCCACAAAGTAGCTTACAGCAGTTAATATATATAATTGAATAATGAAGCACTAAAAAACAAAACTAGTATTTTGTTGTGGCTGTCTTAAATTGATGCAGACACTGATTTAGAGACCACCTTAACCCAGTAGATCTCTGTGGTCTGTGGGAAGGTTTCTTCTGCAAGCTTCAAAGATCTTAGCTGCCCCCTCTGTGGTAACTTGGATCAGTCTTTTTTAGTGTGGCTGCCTCTGTTCTGCAGAACAGCATTACTGTTGAAATATGACAGACATCCACTTTTGGCACTTTCCAGAAACAATTGAAGACATTCTTGTTCCTACAGGCTTTCCCAGTTGAATAAATGTGTATTTGCCACGAGTCTCTATTTTGTATTGTCTTAGTTTTGTTTTAAAGGTATTGGCTGTTTTGTGTGTTGTTAACTTTTTTTGCTGTTTTTATTGTACTTTCCCTTGATATGCTTGCCTAGAAGGTGATTAATAAAATAATAATAATGGTGATGATGATCTGTGATTCTATGTGCTACTTGTAAGACTTGACCCAAATTGTTTATTTCTGTTAAACATTTGTCAACAATAATTAATACAAAAACCCAAAACTTGTAAATTGACATTTAAACAGAAATATGAGACATTATACTGAAGTTCCTGAAAGTGTGAAATCTATTTCTTTGGTCATAGCTGTGATGACCCTGAAGTGGAAGATTATGGGAACAAATGGAGTATGAGTGCAATGCTAAGGTATCTGAAACAGGAAGGGAAAGATACTACAGGTGAGTAGAGAACTGTTACCCCCAGAACAGCACATGATAGGAAGAGAGGAGGGGTAATTCCGTCTGGCAAGCAAAAATTCTTGCTCTGACGGAACAATCAGAAGAGTGTGAGGTTGAATACTTCCCATGTGTCTTTTGTAAACACACTATTCCCTATGTAGTATTCACTTTATTAAGTGAATGCCTTTCATCTTGGAATTCTGTATTTTATTGGACAGTTTCTTTTCCTCACATTTGATTGATTTACTGATAGCATCATGAATGAGCAATGCAAATTAGAAATTCTTTTTAGCAACAAGTTCTTAGCATTAATTAATTATGACTAGCATCAGTACCAGTGTTGTCAAAATTCTTGTTTAGTGGAAGGAGACTGGTGAACTCAGAAGTGTGTAATGCATGGAATAATGCATGCTGTTTGAAGCAGGCATTGTTTTTGCAAAAGTGAAGAGTCAATGCCTATGAGAATATATGGCTTTCATTTTCATGTGAGAATTGAAATGGCTTACAATTAATATATACACAGGTGGTTTGGCCAGACTAAGACATGAGCATTCTGATGTACTTAAAATTTTTTGGATCAACTTTGTGTTTGTCTGAAATCTTGAAAGTGATAGACGATAGTCTGCAACAGAAATGGACAAATTATTTATTCATGTGGGGTCACTAGTCTCCAGACAGTGGTAATGAGGCCAAGAGAATATTTTTTGGCACAGTAGCTAGGTTCCATAATAAAACTGATGCTTCCTAAAGGTTTTACATAGCTTTTGTGCTTGGGCATAGCAATACATACAAATGTGTACAATTGCTGATAGTCAAGAAAAGCTATAACATTAAAGTGGAATACCTTTCTTGAAAAGCAGCAAGTTTACAAACTTTTTATTTTTCCACAGAATGAAAGTGTAGGCAAATATATTAGGGATTTCATTAAAAAATAATGATAGGGCTAACAGGGACTGGAACTAATTGCCTTGGGGGCTGTCATTTGGTTGTCCTAGTTTAGAAGAGGCACAACTTGCAAAAGTTGTGGAATTCTGTCCCCACGGAGGTTCGCCTGGCACCTTCATTATATAGCTTTTGTTGTATGCTGAAGACACACCTCTTTACCTTGGCCTTTACCTCTTGAGTTATATATTTTGAAGACCCACTCTAGCTGTGATTGTAATTAGTTTTAAACTGTTTTTATGCTGTATTTTATATTGCTGTAACCAGCCCTGGGACCTTCTGATGAAGGGTGGGTAATAAATCTAATAATTAATAATAATTATAATAAGCAATAACACTTTATGTTGTACCTCAAAACTAGAATATTACTTTACTTGGTTTTAATTCTTATACTTTGGTTGGTATTTATGGGGTACCTATAAGCAAGTCTCCTAATTCCTTCCTACAAGTTTCTTTTAAAGTTCCCTTGTGGGCGTGCTCTTATGAGCTTTCTGTTTGCTGGCTGTTGTTGATGCTCATGTTCTTATGTGTCTTTGTTTCAATATCACAGGTTAAAAATCCTCATATCAAATTTCTCATTCTTTTTCGCTTTACCCTTTTCTCCTTCCAGCTCTGATGGCCAGTGTAGAGGATCTGATAATAAAGACAATACTTTCAGCTGAACTGGTAATAGCTGCTGCCTGCAAAGCCTTTCTCCCACACCGTGGTGTTTGTTTTGGTAAGGAAATGAAGGCACCTCATCTGTTGTATGTAGTTTCTCTGACAATGCAATCCTATATGTGTCTAGTCAGAAGTAAGTTACATTGAGTTCAGAGGAACTTTTATTTCCAGGTAAGTGTGAAAGGATTCCAGCCTTGTGGTGGAATTCAGTATAGCACTAAGTGGGGTATGCATGGGGATGGGGACAAGGTCCGCTCATGCAATGGGACATGCCCAGTGTGTGTCATGACATCATGCGCTCTGCCCAGTCTCAGAACCTGACTTCCAGTGACACAGGAAGTCAGGTTCTGAGACCTCACAAGGCCTTGGATGTGACTTCTGGTGCTTCGCGAGGCACCGGAAGTTACAACAGGGGCCCTGCAGTGTGGGTGCTGAGTACCCATGACAATTTTTTTGTGGGTGCTCAGGCACCCAGAGCCCCCTATAGTTGGCACCCCTGCCCCCAACCCTCCAGAGCAAATTTAAGGGGTGCACAGGGGGAAGCCCCGTTGTACTAGCACACCTCGTTCCCCACATCCAACAACTTAGTTGAATCTCCCCCTTCAGTGTTTCTTCTTCCTCGGGTCATATTTTGAAGGGAGTATGGGTAATTTGCACTTCATACTAGATCATTAATGGACAAAGAATGGGCCAGACACCTTCTGTAGACCATATGAAGTTGTAAGCAGCTGTTCTTTGAATGGTGCCACACATGGTCACAACATGGGTGGCTGGTTGTGTTCGTTGCTTGTGTACGTCCACTGTGGCATGGGCTGCTGTCAAAGAACAACTGTAACAGGTAAGCTGCTTTGTTTTTCTTAGTAATGTAATATGGGCAGGATGCCAGCAATTAAATTAACATGCAAGGTTTAAAATGCAAGAGAATATTCATCTGTTCAGTGCACGGATGACCTAGAGGGTGCATTCCGCTAGTAAAAGTGTAACAAAAAAGCACTCAACTTATTAATGAAAGACTAGGAATGGCAGCAGCTGTGAGATGGAAAACTTAATCCTTTTTTAAGAAAAGAAAAGCATATTTCTTGTTCACAGTTTGAAAATGTGCATCAGATTTCTCCTGAAATAAGAGAGCTTCA